GTTCAACTGATCTCATTTTGAACTTCCCAGAAACCCAATATATAGCCAGATGTTATAATATCTAAGGTTAGGTCCCAACTCCTGCCACGATAATCGATTATTCAAGTGCCGTCCAACACATACAAAGGTTTTTCAAAAAAGTGTGATAATCGATTATTCAAGTCCTTTACAAACTTTTTCAAAAAGTGATAATCCGAATTATATAGGTGTAATCGATTATTCCTGGATGACTTTGTCATAACGATTATTGCCATTCCATAATCGATTATTTTCAGTTAAAATCAATTTTTACAAAGTACAAGACTTCCACTATATTTATTTCTACAAATTGCTTTTAAATAATTCTAATATATTCTTCAACTAAAACTTCTTGCAGCATCATCAAAACAATTTTCTTCAAGATTTACCAATACTCCTTATTGGTAACATTTCACCCTACCACACTCATGATGTTAGTCTGTTCTGGGCCTTGGAGCATATTGGTAACCTCGAAGACTAAGACCTCCTGCTACTCCTCACGACATGGATCAATCCTCTCTATGTGAGAATGAAAGACCATTGGAGTTTCAGGATAACGCCCAAGACTGAGCTCCCTGCAATCATTCTAAACATACTTGAACCTCACCAAGAATTCACTTTGTACCTTACTTTGAAACCAACACAAAGAAGTTCCTCTTGGAACCGATTTTACCCACCTGAACCCATTGAATCCATATGAAATCCTATACATAAATATTCACTTTTACATTGCATATAAACATAGATATAATACGAATTATACTTCAAAAGACCACAAACAACTTACAAGTCTCAAAATCATATGAAACCATTCCATGTACGTTAACAGACATAACGTCCAAGAAAACCACTAAACAACACCAAAACCCTTAACTCATACTTAGACAAGGAAAACAACTTTGAAACCATCACAAAACATTCCGCAAAGTTCCAAAACCCCACCCCCAAAACACCTAAAGAACGTCCAAAATGGTATCCAGAACCCCGAAAACCACCAAAAACTGTCCTGCTGATTTTCTAACGACAATAATCGATTATCATGTGATAATATTTGCGAGAGCTTTGAAGAAGATACAACTCTCTGACTAAAATAATCGATTATCAAATGAGATAATCGATTATTCTTATCTGTTTTTGACAACAACCTGATTTTTATGGTTTTGGTTGCATCTTAAGAAGCTCTTGCAGAATACTGTTTGTCAGAGGAAGTTCTCAGAAGCTATAGTTCAAGTTCCCTTGCTTGGTCTCGTGAACAGGAGGGGCTCGCGTTTCGTGTGTCGATAGTCGGAGCAAGCTCTCTTCGAGTTAGCAAGGTGCTCTGCCTGGTCTCGTGAATAGGAGAAGCTCGCGTTTCGTTTGTCGATAGTCGGAGCGGTTCTCTTCGAGTTGGCGGAGTGTTCTTCTTCCGGTTCTTTCGTCGAAGGAAGGTTTATTTATCTGTTTTATTCACTATTTGTTGTAATCTGTGAAACATCTTTTTAGTGGAACTGTTAATCACTTTTTATAGTGATTAACGACTGGATGTAGATTATGTTGAATCGAACCAGTATAAAAATTACTCGTGTGATTTTCTATTCCCTACATTTTTTATCTTTTACGCATATCAACTGTTCAATAAATTTTCTGAAAGAAAATTGATTTTTTAAAAACAGACCAATTTATTTTACAAAGGTGACCAAACACGCTTTCTGCTACTCTAAGCTTTATTCCGCTGCGTTACACTCTGTCTGGTACCAATCAACATGAAACTCATTGGCAATGACTTTGCAAAGCAGTAGAAGCCACCATGAGTGCACGACCCGCCATAATTCGGTAATCATTCTAAGTCCGGACAGTCCATTCATAACAAGTGTCCTGCATAAAGTGTTTGATGATTGTGGAGTGATATGTTTGTTGTATGTAACATGTTTTACAGGAGTTTATAAATATATATTGTTCCTCAATTGTAAATTAACTTACCCTTGCTTCTTTATTGTACATTGTATGGTGTTTTCTCTTTTGCAATGATCACCTTAACCGGTGTAAGCTTAGGAAGGACATCTTTCAGGAGACTCAAAGTTTGGTTGAAAGGAAAAAGCAACAGGATAGATAATCTTTGGTCCGTCAAGGATAGGATCTCTCGTTCTAATAGCCTCAAGTTACTTGTAAGTTTTCATTTATGTACGTCTTATTTTATTAGTTTTATACTACTAAAATAGGATGTTACAAGTAAACTCTAATTACATTAATTTTTAATTAGATTTAGATTTTATTTGAACTGAATCCATTCACTCAAAAGATCTGATGATGATTTACATAATTTTATAATTTTGTTGACTATCTAACAATTTTACTGTGCTGATTTGAATCAGAAATACTGTATAAAATCATTTAATTAAAAAAACAAATAATACAAAAAGCATAAGGCAAAATTATTAAAATTAATCTTTCCTTAAATTGCACAAACATGTCATTGATCACACTTTACACCTCAACTCAATTAAATTTTTCTTATGTTTTATTTATCTTTTTTTGTATACCTTACAAACATGATACCCAAAAGAGGCAACCATGGAAATAGAGCAAATAAATGTTGCCCAGTTAATTTATGGTAATTTTAGAAAATGGCAGACTCTATCACCATATTGATTCACCCAATTATGAATTTAGCCAAGGAAAAACATTGGGTGATGTCTGCAACCTCCCTGTTAAAACTTCAACACCAGTATCTGTCACCTAATTATGATGAAAACCATAAGCTATGTTAAATAGGTACAACCAGATAAAAATAATCGTGAACTACTAATGTAGACCAAATATAAGTCTAAATTCAAATTACTAATTCACTGACCAAAACAAATATAAACAAAGTAGCCACGGTTTTGTAGCTCTATGTAATAGACACATGATTAAATTAGTGGTCAATGATTTGGACAATATGCATGAGATTATACGTTTAAACTTGCATTATACGTTTAAACTTGCATTATCCAAAAATAAAAAAATTCAAACTAACATCATACCAAGACACTGTACTCTCTATGATATTTTTCAAAGGCTTAGTCCAAAGCATATTATTGATGTTTCATTTGTTTCACACCAAAATGAATAGAGGTGAGGTGAGAAAGTAAATGGCTAATCGTTACCGTATCTTTCTCTTGAAAACCTCATCCAAAATTACAACTATGATCATTTTCTCTCATTTATTATTACTTTTCAGCACATCAAGACCGTGTTTTACTTGGCAGGATTATGCAGAAATAACCAGACTTAGTATGGAGAAAACACAAGGACTAACCAGCAGAGTATGCTCAAATTGAGCACTTCGTTTACCATCGGTTGTAACAACAGTCCATCCATCAGGCCACATTCGATCACGCCAGACACCTATTAAAAAATAATATTGGAGCTGCCACATGGATTCATAAAAACCATTTGTAAGAAATTTTATGAATTATAAGTATACCAGCATTGATCATTGGTTCAATTGTAAAGGTCTGTCCAGCCTTCATCACACCAACTGCTTTATTTCCTGACAGTGGTTAAGGAGTATAAATTCCACAAGTTTTCTTTCTACTTTCTAGCAATCTTTGTTCTTTGTTGGTAGAGATAATAAATCAAGAGGTGCACATTGCCTGTTGCTTGGAATTAATGGTATTTATAACAGGGTTGTCAATAGAAAGTGAATGACTAACATATAGAACGATTTCTAAACTGGTCACTTGATGTTAGAAGGAAAGTATACACTGCAAAATCATTTTTGACAGACTGTGGTCTACTACTCAAGATGTTTCAGAAGTTGGTTCCATTCTGGAACAATGCAGGAAAATTCTTAGACTAATTGAAACTTTGAGGTCAAGTTTTTAGGGAGACAAGCCAACAGGGTAGCTCATGCTCTTGCTAAAGCTTCCTTAACTTATGCTAGTTCCACTATTTGTTTTAATATGTTCCTAGTTGTATTGCTTCTTTCATTATCAATGCCGAGTTAAGTTTGTTGTAAAAGAAAATTATAAACTGTGGTGAATGTTAATATCAAACATCAGTTGACGAAAAAGACCATTTCTAAATATTTCTTACAATTCCCTGCAGTGCTAAAAAACTAGGGAAGGATACTTGCATAATGAGGAATGTATGGTGCACAATGGAAGAGCTCTCCAATTCCATGACCACAATATGATCTTGCCTAACGGGTCCAAGGGAAAAAAAATAGGGAACAGATGATTAGCATCAACTATAGTGAAGGAATAATGATAAACAGATTTAAAAAACTGTNCACTTTGGTTGAAAAATCTCATTTTAGTCCCTCGTTATAAAAGTGTTTTACATTAGTCCTAACTTTTAAAATAGTGGGTCAGATTGGTCCTTTCTGTTAAATATAAGTTAACAAAATTAATGGATGATGATGTGACACAACTTAAAGCTAACGAGGGACCAATCTAACACATCAGCTTTAAGCTGTGTCACATCATCATCCATTAATTTCGTTAACTTATAATTAACAAAAGAGACCAATCTGACCCACTATTTTAAAAGTTAGGACTAATGTAAAACACTTTTATAACGAGGGACTAAATTGAGATTTTTCAACCAAATGGGGACTAAATTGGCTATTAAACCTTCTTTTAATTGAAACTCATTCATTAAGAAGTACGAGGTGCACTTAAAAATATTTGTAACTTTTAATTGAGTTTGGATTTTGTTTTATTGAAACCTTTTTCATCAAGAAAGTAAATAAATGCTACAATTGAATAAAAAAATAATGTAAAGACTTGTTCTTTTCTTCTTTTCCTCTGTCACTCTCCTTCTTGTCTTCTTCTTCTCTCATCAATTTCTCTTTTTCTTCTTTCATTTCTCTGAAAACCCTAGGGTCATAGAAGGATGTGGGCTTGAGGGAAAAGGAGTTGCAGGAGGAAACTCATTTCTCTTTACGATGCAACTGTCTCCGTTCGGGGGTGCTACGACAACGACATTCTCTTCACGATAGTAGAGTTGCGACTTCTTCACGGTGAGTTTACGGTGACTCTGACACGACATTCTTTCCCGATCGTTTTAGGGTTTGAATTTGGGGTTTCTTTCCTCTTTCTGATTTGTGGTGATTTAGGGTTTAGGGTTTCAAAGAGGGTTTCCTTCCACGTATCGTGATCTTGAGTGCTACCGTGAAGAAGAAGAGTTTTAGGTAAGGGAAGCTAGTTTTGTATATTTAAATTATGTTGGTTGTATAAGTTTGGTGCTTGCATGTAGGATAAATTGATTTAATTAGAATTTCACTTGCATGTTTGTGTTGGATCATTTTAATGGGTATATTTGGTTAGTTTATGATTGATTTTATGATAATATGTGATATTGATGTTATTGTGATGATGAACAGTGTGTTATTAAGTTGTGTTGATCTTGTGATTTGACTAAAATGTTCAAGTTGCACTAAGCTATCAAAGTTCTGAATTTGCGTAGTTAAAAGTGGAGATTTGATAGGCAAATTTGAAAGATAAGGGTTTGAGTTGTATACATGGTATTTCAGGTCTTGTTTTATGTCATTTGAAACTTGTTAGAGGTGTCTTTTGATTTAAATGAGATGAAATAAATAGGAGTAATTCATTAGGGATATTTTGTAGTNCTGATATGATCATGTTAGTTATTCAACATGTCCTTCTGTCCTTAATTTATATTTTTAATTTTTAAATGATTTATAACCTTAAAATACGGGATTAAGGAGATGGGACCAAATCAACATTTTAAAGACTAAATTTGTAGTTTGAGTTATGAATTCATAATGAAACTTTAAGGTACACGTCAAACAAAAGACAAACAAGAGATCCAAGACTGTTATTATATTTGAAAGTTAAAGAAGAGACAGAATTGGCAATGGATGTATACCAATGGATATTGCCTTCTCCAGGCACTCATATGTGCATTTTACTAATTGGCAAGACTCTTCATCAACGTTTCCCACAAAGTATGTTTCATTGAGATCAGCTGCACAACAACCCACAAAATTAACCAGTTGTTGATTTATGAACTTCAAAATTGGAAACTGTGAAGCATAAATAAGCTAACCAACTTACCATGAACACCTTTATAGTACACAGAGACATCAACATTTACAATGTCACCATCCTCAAGCTTCCTGCACAATGACTATATTAAAAAGAGGAGTTCTCAAGTACCCAGCCAATGAAGCATCAGTTGAGGAAGTTGGTTTATAATAATTACAGCCACAAATAAAACAACTAGCAACAACGAAAAACCATAATATGAATAGACTAAAAAGGCACAGAATAGTTTACCTTGCGTCAGGAATTCCATGGCAGATTACTTCATTAACTGAACTGTTAGATAGTGCAAAATTCCGTCTTAAAATATACTTAGACAATGAGAAAAATATGACATTACAGAAGAAAAGTACCTACGTGCAGCAAGATTTAGGGAAGAAATTATAATTGAGAGGTGATGGATACCCTCCTGCAAAGGTAAAAAGTAAAAACAGTATCACCACCGGCAACTATCTGTAATAACCAAATGACAGTCACATCAAGAAACTCACGCAAGCAATTGGAAACATAGTTATAAGGTTGGGAAGCCCGCTCTCTAATGCTCATGGCCTTTTTAGAACTTCTAATTTCTGGTAAGCAGAGAGATGAAGCACCTAGTTGCTATGAAATTAAATTTCTTTTTCCTATAAAAAATGTTTGTTGTGATTTGTACAACAAAATGTGGGAGAAAAAAAGAAAGCGATCCTTTCAAAGCTATACAATACATGAACCAGTTTGTTAGGTTTTCACGAGGAGAGACACCAGGAAGATTCAACACCAATGGACTATAAGCATTCCATACAAGAGAGACCAAGAAACCATTTCTAATCCAAAACCTTAAGACAATTAAGACAATGAATTTATGAGTCTTCTTTTTTATATACTGTCATTTTGCTCATTACTAATCAATATAGGACAAAACTCATTACTCTAGATAACAGAGGATGAATGCTCAACACTCACTAGATGCAGTAATGCCAAAACATTCTATACAAGAACTATAAAAAATTCATAATAGAAGTTGTCCCACTATACCAAATTTTTGGGCATGACAAAACAACTTTTATTATGGATTTCTTTTATTGTTTACATAATGCATAAATTCCCAAAAATTATAAAAATTACTCTAAATTAATAACATCTATAATTAATAGTAAAAAGTCAGTGTCTTAAACAGAACATACAAGTAAACACCAACAAAAGATAAATACAAATTCTCTAGATTGGAATTTTCAGTCATCGTCCTAATCCAACTCTTCTTCATCATTTTCACAATTTTAACATCTATAGATTTTAATTTTGAAAATTAAGACTTTGTTCTTTTGTAGGGATTTGGGAGAGACGATTTGGGGGAGATGATTTGAATGAATTTGAGTTGATTTGAGGGTAATTTTTTTGTTGTTTTTTTGAGTGGATTTGTGGGTAATTGAGGGTGAATTTGGAAGTAAAGTGTGTGAGAATTACTGTAGGATTTGATTGATGGGACACATTTAAAAAATTTGTTTAATTGGTAAAAATTAAAGATTACCAAAATGCCCCTAGTTATTAAAATAATATAAAATGATAATTGTTAATATTATATTTAATTGTAAAAATGTTTATAAAGAGTAAAAAATTAAAAATAATTATTAATATTATTTTTTAAAATGTAATAAAATTGTAATTTAATAAATTAAAATAATTATTTTTAATCATGAGGGAATTGTGAAAAAATTAAAATAATTATTTTTATAAGACAGCATATTAAAGTAGTTGTATTTTTTATATCATATTTTAATTCTTATAATAATTAAAATACTAATAATGTAATAATATTAGTACTCTATTACCAGTAACAACAATATTCATAGTAACAACAATTCTTATAATAATTAAAATACTAATAATGTAATAATATTACTATTCTATTCACAGTAACAACAATATTCACAGTAACAACAATGTAATAGTAATTTGCTGTCAACATAATAAAAAACGAGGTCCATGTGTTGACGAGGGAAGAGCTACGCATAGCAACTCACATCTCCCTCTATGCAATCGAAAATTTTCATTCCCCAGGAACTCTTGTTGCACTAACCAACAGGGATTTGAATCTGAAAATTCTATCTTCAATTTCACGGCTTTCATCAATGCAGCAACGAAAGTCGAAGTGGGGGTGGTGAAATTTCTATTGGGTTCAAAGTTGATAAATTTCAGTGGTTTTTGTTGGTGGGGTGGGGAAACATGGTGTTGTCGGCTTCGCCATGTTCCTTGGCGAGAAGCTCGCTGGAGCAGATGCTGGATTCACTTCGACGTAGGGACGAGGAGGAAAAGAAGAAGGATGCGCCACCGACCTTGCCTTCGACACCGACCTCGCGCAAGGCTTCCTCCGGCACGGCGGTCGCTGTCGAATGATTTTAATGAGGAGAAGCAGTGAGCGCTGTGTCGTGCAGGAGAACGGAGTTGCTTCTAATGAGGAGAGTGAAGTGAAGGAGATGGATTTGGGGCAGAAGAGGAGAAAGTGAAGTTTTGGGAGCAAGAGGTTGAAGAAGGATGTGGAGTCTACTTATATGGCAATTTCTTCTAGTTCATTTGGGAAGGTTTGGGAATTGGATGGTGATGATCTCTCTTCTTCGTCTTTTTCACTCTCTTCACGCTGAACTCGTTCTCTGCTTCGTCTTCTTCATCTTCAACGTCTCTCATCTTCATCCTCAACCTCCATTCTTCTTCACAATGAACCGATTATATTAAGTATAAAAAATCATCTGGGAATTATTTTGAGTTATAGGGACATTTAAGAGAATTTGCATTCCATCCCTCCAAATCTCATCACCCGCGGGTGACTGAACAGTACGTCTGCGCATTTCACTTCAACCGAACACAATAAGCTTAATTCCTCGCTCGCAAAACTGTGTGACTTTGTTTTGAGGCAGTTTTTTGGAATCAACACAAAGTGCCACTATTCAGCCATTCATCAGATCCAGTACAGCAGCCCTTTAGCCAGTCGCGACTGCTCTGCACCACTACATCACTGACACGCTATTTAAAACCCTAATGTAGACATAATTTAATGTCACAAACTTATGTAGTAGCCACCGAGAAGTTTATATTTTCGAGAAATAATAGCTGTTGAAAAAGAAAAATATTATTTTCCAAAAACTTAATCCCAAATATGTATTTATTTGTATAAAGGTTTCCAAAAGAAATTGTAGAATAGCTAGTAGGAATATTTGATTGTGAAGGGTTTGACATAGACATACATAAAAAATAGGTACGCCACAAAGAAGGCTACTAAGCTGAAGTATCTGAGCTTCATTGATTGATAAACCTACTAAAAATCAATAAATAAAAAAGTGGTAAGACTTGAAGTGTTTCAAAAGGAAACTCAATAAAAATTTAGCACCTGCAGCAATAGTTGCCTCATGAACAACTTTATCAATCTCATCAGTTGTCACACCAGGCTGAATAATCCTAGCAGCTTCATCCAATACCTCCCTTGCAATCTATATAAAGTAGAAATCAATTCAGCCAAATTAGAGGCTAAAGTCTACACCAACACAAAATAGAAAATAAATAAATATTTAAAAGACCTTTCATTTTACTCAAGTTTACAGTTTCTGAATTTGTCATCATTCAATTCAAAACTCATTATTTTTAAGTAATTTTTCTATTTTTGAGCATTGGTATATGCATAGTATTAGTAATTTAATGTATATAAAAATTTCAGGAAAAACAGTCATCCTACTATCCACCATCCTGCTATCCCATTTTCTGGGCCAGCAGCTCTGCACCGTTATCCTGAATTCATAACTATAATTGAGATGGTAGACGAGTGAAAACAACTTATATATAAGAGAATCTACAGAGAGAAAGAGTGGCAAGTAGTTTACATGACAAGTTTCCCTCATTCTCTCGATTTGATCTGGAGTTTTGACCTATAGATTAGTATGAGTTAGAAAGTAGAATAAAAAGAATAAAGACAATTTTTGGACCTACTCATGTATTTTAAAATTACCCACCTCAACGGTATACTGCAGAACACTATTGGGCTCAATTATTGGAATTCCCTAGAAGTTAAACACAGAAGAAATAAAAAGATTTCAGCAACCAATGGACCCTCCTTGTATTTAAGCAAAATGAGTTAAATAAGAGAAGGCACAAAGCATTTAAATAAGAAGAACTGGGATAACTTACATCATCAGCCCAATCAGGTTTATCAATATGACATGGGACAATCCGTTTATTAGAAATCGGAGACGGCCGCAGCGATCTTGCAAGAGCAAAAGTTATATTTTGGTTTCAACAAATAAACAAGTAATTAGCAGTAAGCTTGAAAGAGAAAAATTAATGAAAAGAGGGGGAACAATAAAAATCACAGAAGGCCTCTGAATGAAAAATTGTGAAAAAGCACTACTAATAATGAACACAACATCTTGTATTAATTAAATTGTGGGGATTTGAAAGTTTAGAGTATGAAGATGTTCAAAGCCCTACCCGGTCCAATCAAAGTAAGGAAGCTTTGGTGTCCAAGCCTGCCCACTCTTCAAACAATATAACCAACCTTCACTGAGTGAGCCTGAATTTTGTGTGTCAGGTGAGGATAACTTTGCCTTCAGATGCACTGATTTGTGCGAGCTCCATGAAGACTTGAAACATTCCTGAGAGCTGTCAAAAGATATCAAAATTGGCTCAAGTATGAAGGATATGAAGACTACGAGATGTATATTTCAGGGTGATTCAGTAACAGTAATTAACTAGTGATTCACTGTTCTCTATTAGAACCATGGTCAACCTCAACTTCTTCTACAGGACTCCACTTGGAGGAACAATGTCATCTCTTCACCAAATTGACAATCCCTAATAACTAAATCAATATGCTGTGGATATTAAATTAGATCAATCAGAACTTAGTTTTTTATTTACAATGGTCGATAAGTATTACTAGTCAGCACCAACTGATGCACTATATTGTACCGATACATTAACAGTAGCATTCATGATTTTAAATAGCACGCTATATAGCAACTTTAGTGCTCACTTCAGTGGTGTGGTTTAGCATAGCAGATGTACTGGACCAAATGGCTCGCTGAATAGCAACTATAGCAGAAGCAAGGTATTGATTCCAAAGACATCCTTTTAAAAATGAAATCTACAGCTCTAGTAGTGGTCAAAATGATTAAGACAACTTGGATTTAGAAGATGATGATTGATAATTCCCATCTACAAACTTGTATTTGACTTTATTTGGTATTTGTCAAGAAGCTGCCAATTCAGAATTGATTATCGATAGAAAATTATGACACCAAAGATAAAAAATCTGTAAGAGGAGATCCGGGAATCCCAGATATGAGAAGAAATCTGAGGCAGAAACTAACAGAATAGCGACTGAAAGATGTGTGCACAGACACTCTATAAGAGAAAGACACCGAATAACGAGGGAAGATGGGTTGATATTCATTTCCCTACATTCTTCTCAGACTCTATTGGTTGTTCCATATCATTTTCCCTACACCATTGTAATTGGTTACTATTCGTCCTCCTATTTCATACACTGGAAGTTTATTGTTGATAGCTGATAGGGTATGGAGAGTTATTGAAAGGAAGAAAAAAAGGGAATAAAGAGGGGGAGAGACATTAGGCAGTTATATTTGCTTCTTTCAATCAGGTTTGACTTCTTTTTTTTCCTTCTGGCCTTTTTGTCTTTTACCTTGGTTGACATCTTTAATGCTTTGACTGACTTTGTTATGTTCGACTTCTCAATAACTTTGACCAACTCGTTTCTGACCTTAGACGATTTCTCAACAATCTTGGCCGTCATCTTCATCTTCCTCGTTTGGTTCAATAACACTAGATGTTTTCTCTTCTTTTTCAAGAGCCGCCTTCTTTAGCTCCTCAAGCTCAACCCTCTATTTATTCATAATCTCATTAGCTTCATCTAGTAGCCTCTCTATCTGCTTAATCTCTTCATCCATAGCTTTCTTCCGTCTTTCATCAAGCACAACTTCTTCAAATTTTATATCTTCTGCACTTGTTAACAAACATGTTACATTTACCTCATCATGGAGTTATCCAAGCTCTTGCTAGTCATATCTTGCTTCAAACACCTTTTATGCAAGATCTTCAGCTGCAGTTCATACAACCAGTTTTTCTTCGCTTTTTCCTTGGTTGCTAGACGACCATGCTTATCCTTTAAATACAGTACCTGGTCTTTCATAAAAACTGAATTACCTTTTAAAATTATCTGACCCATGCGTAAAATATTACGCTTTAACTCGGGAACATAGTAAACGTCCCTAATGGTGAAAGATAGGCTTCCTTGGGGGAGATTACACTTGTAATTTTCTATACCTTACAGAATCAATAATACATACATACTTTCTTTTTTTCTGTTATTCGATGGTTGATGCGAGAGTAGAGTATAGATTTAGGTTACTCGCATAAAGTAACCTAACAGA